TAATTTATTTATCTAAAAAGTGAGACATTTTCACACAAAACAGAATTAAACATGAAACATAACTTTTATTTTAACTACACACTACTCAAATGTAGCTTTGAGGTCAGTATTAATGGTTGACTAATGCATACCGTTTCTGCACAGTGTTCAGGGAGTAGTATGGTGGTGCTCCACAGTAAATGAGTATCAGTGTGTGTTTGGGGTCTCATCGTGTCGGGGCCCCATCGTGTCGGGGCCCGTGTGCGGCGTCTCTCGGGGTGGAGCTGCGGTAATGAAGACGATCGCGGCGCGGCGTCTCTCTGGAAAGCTGTGATGGATTGATCTGCTGCTCGCCTCATCAGAGTCTATCAATCAGCGCTGCTTTGCCTGTGTTTTCAATAGGAATTTGCCACGCTTGAGTTCGCTGCGCCGCCGGCAGCCCCCGGGACCTGCAGCTCGCTACATTAAAGATCATTTTCTTTCTCCTCCGCCCTCTAACGTAATTTGTCATCAAATCACAAATATTGCTCACGGAGCAGAGCACAATGCTAAATCAAGAGCGTTGCGGGTTCTTCATCTCTGTGCTGATGGCACATATGACTGAGTGTAATCCGTTTACTAGATGTATGGAATGGTTGAGGAGATCTTTTGTGTATTTGATGTGCTTTTGATAAAGAATGGCTTTTATTTAGGATCAGTTGTTATAAAAATGGATGAGTTGAATAGTCAGGCCAGAAAAGGGGTTGAGTTGAATGAATGTCACAAAACCTGTCCAGTGGCCAGTTTCATAAGCCTTTATGTTAACACTGTGTCTTAATAAATAGCAGTTAGCTGAGGGGTAACAAGCCTTATTTTTCAGACTCAAATTAGACCAATCTATGTTTTTATGTTATTTCATTTCATTTCATTTTTTTATTAAATTTTTTTGTAAATGACCTAAAAAAGTTATGATCCATCTTTAAGGAAAAAAAATAAAATAGATGTAACTTGTAAGACTAATCGAAGCATTTTATGCAGCCAGTCACAGATCATATTTCCCCCCCCAAAATAAAAATAAATACATAAAAATAAATAAAAAATAAGGAACTATATACAGTATTAGAAATATTTTACATATGAAATTAGCTTTACAAATTTATAGGATAAAGGATTTTTTGTTGTTGTTTGATTCCACTTCTCTGAGAATGACAAAAAAAAAAAAAAAAAAAAAAAAAAAAAAATATATATATATATATATATATATATATATTTGTTTTATTTTATTTATTATTATTTTTTTAATGATCAAAGAACGGTTTGTAGTAGTTTGAATTAACAGTAACAACACTAGATTAGATGAGATACACTGGATGACAGACAGAAAGCAAGAATTTAAGCCATACATGATTAAACACAAAGAGCACATGAAACAAACACACAGCACACAATGTGCTTCAATGGAAGAGTGAGGACTGACTTCATGTGGGACCAGACCTGGCTGAAGTCACACATTGAGACAGAGATGTGGAGATGGTGTTGAGATAGAAGAGCTTGATAGCTTGTGACAGTCAGCGCTCCTGCTATCATTCTCGCTCTATCACTCGCCGTCTTCGGCTGAGATTAAACCCCGACCGGCTCTGAAAGTGACAGATGCGAGCGAGCGTCTCTGGCCCATGGCAGAATCTCCAGAGGAGGCCGTATGCCACACTGTTACTAATAAGAGGAGCAGGAAATGGGGCACACCTCGGATCTGTAATCACAGCACTGCCTCTCTTTTGACGTCCTCTGCCGGTGACCTCATTAGCTGGCCCGTATCGGGATTAAGCCGGGGTCAAAGGTTAAGCTGGACGGGCTCTCTGAGGGGTGTGAAGCTTGATTAGAAAGCTGAGCAGAGGGAAATGAGGAAAGACGAACAGCTCCCTGGACGTCTGACGTGATTGGAACTGATAAAGAAGATTGATGTAGTGCAGAGAGAATCGAGAGCGGATCATGTGCTCGGGGTCCGACCCGTCCTATAGGTGATAGAGACGCTCAGACGGGGCCCCGATGCGCCGAGATGCTCCGTAGCCTCATCTCATTCGCAGCCCAGTTTCTTCAAATCCTCTCAGGTCATGGGAAAGGCTGGGAAAGGCTGTGGCCTGTGGGTGTTGGTTTTTCATTTCTTTTTCACAGTTCTTAAGCTCCTAACTGAAATGCTCATTAAATGTGCAGTGGCGGGGATTTTGCATCAGAGTTTTGGGAGTCGACACGCTGCGTATGTTTTTTATTGCCTCATTCCTTCCCATTGGAAATACTTCATTGTTTGTCAACGTCGTGCATCTACATATAATATGCTTTTTGTGTGCTCCGAGGGGCCGATTGCCTCCCCGCACTTTCCTGAAGCAATAAAGAGTTTGTTTTTGTGTGCATTTTCAACATTAAAAAGGGTGAAGCCTGAGCAGTCTCGTTTAAGTTCGAGTGAATTAAATGAAAGCCTCTGAATATTTTTCATTAAGGATGTGAAGTGAATTTAATAACTTCAAATGAAATGCAGCTAAAGCTCTGGAGTCGTGGGGCTCGTCGTGGGAATAACGGACGGGAAGTTTTGCTGTTTGAGACTCGTGCACAGTCACTTTTGTTTAGTTTCTGCTAAAATAAAGCATCAGTTTAGCTTTGTGCGACATCGTCTGAACCCGAATGAATTGAGATTGAATTGGTTCAGCGTTCTTGTAGCTCAAACAGTAAAGTATGGCACTAGAAACATTAAGGTCATGGGTTTTGATTGCATGAACTGAAACAAAGTTGCAAAGTTGCTTTGGATAAAAGTGTCTGTTAAATGCATAAATGTAAATGCACAATATATTGGAACCATATTAGTATTTAGATAATCTAGCACTTACTTTAAAGGGACAGTGATATATTATGGCAAATATTTAACCTTTTAAAATCACTTTATGTTGAAGAGCGCTGTCCTTTTAAGAGCACATGTTGGTACGTGCTGCTGTGTGTATGTAATTATTAGTATTGTGCATTTATGTGCATAAGATAATTTCTTGAAAAAAAGTACAATAATTAAAGGGTTAGTTCACCCAAAACGTCTGTCATTAATTACTCACCCTCGTGTTGTTCTAAACCCGTAAAACCTTCGTTCATCTTAGGAACACAATTTAAGATATTTTTGATGAAATCTGAGGGCTCTCTGACCCTCCCATAGACAGCAAGGTAACTACCATGTTCAAGGTCCAGAAAAGTACCAAGATGATCGTCAAAGTAGTCCGTGTGAGATCAGTGGTTCAACTGTAAAGTTACAAAGCTACGAGAATACTTTTTTGCGCAAAGAAAACAAAAATAACGACTTTATTCCACATTTTCGTCTCTACTGCATCACTTGTGGACACACGTTGACCATGACGCGAGCGTGTGGCGGCGCTGACCCAGATCTGGCGTAATGATGTCATTACGCCGGATCTAGGTCAGTGCCAGCGCCGCCACATGCTCGAGTCATGATAAAGTCGTTAAAGTACTGACCATTTTTACAGACCATTAACCCATATAATGGCGCTTTTCCACTGCATGGTACGGCACGGTACGGCTCTTACGGTTCACTTTTGGGGGGTTTTCCGAGCGGATCCAGAGAGAGCTTGGTGGGGCGACGCAGAATGAAAAAGCAACGTGTATAATCCCGCCCACTTAAAGCGGTACTAAACTGCAATGGAAGCGCAAATGGAGTCGTGCCGAGCTGAGTCATACCACGCAGTGGAAAAGCGCCATAAGAGAACCATATAAGAGGGACTTCAAGCAAATATTTTAGGTCGAAGGGTTCCGGCCGACAAAATGTTTTGGAATCTCTGCTTTATATTATAATACCTAAAATTTGCTTTAGTTTTTAGTGTTTATTTTCTTTTATATATATATATATATATATATATATATATAATTTAATATAATTTAATCCCAAACCAACATTAACAACATGGCTAATACTAATACAAAATGTAATGTTCATATGGAAACTCATTTCCGCCACTGAATAAAAATTAAAAAAGGTTATTGCGAATTCACATTTTTCTTGCAATTGCGAGTTTACATCTCACATTTCTGATATTTTTTCTTAGAATTGCAAGTTTATATCATGCAATTCAGACTTTGTAACTCACAATTATGAGTTTCTATCACTCAATTCTGAGAAAAAAAGTCAGAATTGTGAGATAAAAAGTTGCAATTACCTTTTTTTCGAACCGTGCCGTGCCTTACTGAGCCGTGCCGAGTCGTACCACGCAGTGGAAAAGCGCCATAAGAGAACCATATAAGAGGGACTTCAAGCAAATATTTTAGGTCGAAGGGTTCCGGCCGACAAAATGTTTTGGAATCTCTGCTTTATATTATAATACCTAAAATTTGCTTTAGTTTTTAGTGTTTATTTTCTTTTATATATATATATATATATATATATATATATAATTTAATATAATTTAATCCCAAACCAACATTAACAACATGGCTAATACTAATACAAAATGTAATGTTCATATGGAAACTCATTTCCGCCACTGAATAAAAATTAAAAAAGGTTATTGCGAATTCACATTTTTCTTGCAATTGCGAGTTTACATCTCACATTTCTGATATTTTTTCTTAGAATTGCAAGTTTATATCATGCAATTCAGACTTTGTAACTCACAATTATGAGTTTCTATCACTCAATTCTGAGAAAAAAAGTCAGAATTGTGAGATAAAAAGTTGCAATTACCTTTTTTTTCCATTCAGTGGCAGAAATGGGCTTCCATATGTTCAGCTGGTAATTTGCTCTTGATTATGCAGATCTGTCAACTTCTGTCTGTCCTGATTTTCGTGTTAATCATTTAGCATATCGTTGCACTTCACAAGATAATGTCTAATTGTAAGGATATTCTTGTTTACTTTTGTTTGATAAACAACTAGTACTTTGTTGGGACGTTCAATGTAAAATCTGAAACTAAACCAGTTGAAAACTGCTGTACAGTATATTTCTTAAAATGTAAAGATGTGTGTCATCTCAGTAAGTTGATGTATTGTGTTTGCAGGCGGTCTCAGAGGCGCTTCTATCGTGGATTCTCTGGACACGCTGTACATCATGGGTCTGATGGAGGAGTATGAAGAAGCGAAGGAATGGATCCAAAACAACCTGGACCTGAACTCGGTGAGCAAACATGGTTGGGTTGTTTCTCCGTGGATTAGCAGCTCTGAATTTAATGCTGTCTGAAGCACTTGTGGAAAAGCCTTCTATTGATCCGGAGCTGCGCTGGAATCAACCAACGTCCAGTTCTGGGAATTGAGACAGTTTTGATCCAGATCAAACATTCGTGAGTGGATGAAAGGCCTCCGTTGTGGCTTTGTGTTGACTTACTGTGACTTGTGTTGAGTAATGTAAAGAGAGTGCTCACTCACTGATGGACCAGTTCTGAGGGCAAACTAAGAACTTGCAATTTAAAGATAAACTGCATAGTTAGATTACAACTGGAGCCTTTGCAAAAGTTACCATAGTGATGTGAGGATGTTGTCTGTAGTTGCTAGGATGTAGCTAAGTGGTTGCTTAGAATATCTGAATGGTTACTAGGATATTTTGGGTAGTTTCTAGGCTGTTGCTTAGGTGTTCTGAATGGTTGCTTGGGCGTTGCTAGGATACTAGGATGTTGTGGATAGTTGCTATGCTATCGCTTATGTGTTCTTAATGGTTGCTAGGATACAAGGATGCTGTGGGTAGTTGCTAGGCTGTTGCTTGGGTGTTCTGAATGGTTACTAGGGTGTTGCTAGGATACAAGGATGTTGTGGGTAGTTGTTAGGCTATTGTTAGGGGGTTGCTTAGGTGTTGTGAATGGTTGCTAGGTCATTTCTAGGATATTAGAATGTTGTGGGTAGTTGATAGGCCTTTGAGAAACGGCTGCTTAGATATAATGAATGGTTGCTAGAGTGTTGCAGTGTTACTAGTATGCTGCTAGGCTGTTGCTTGAGTGGTGTTCTGAGTGGTTGCTAGGGTGTTGTAAGGATACAAGGATGTTTCGGGTAGTTGTTAAGTCATTGCTGAGTGGTTGCTTAGGTGTTCTGAATGGTTGTTAGAATACTTAGGATGTCGTGGATAGTTGTTAGGTTGTTGACAAGGTTTGCTTAAGTGTTCTTAATGGTTGCTAGGGTATTGCTAGGATACAAGGATGTTGTGGGCAGTTCTTAGGCTGCTGCTAATTGGTTGCTAGAATTTGAGGATGTTGTGGGTAGTTGCTAGGCAAATTACTAGGTGGTTGCTTAAAGGTTCTGAATGGTTGCTAGGGTGTTGCTAGGATAATAGGATGTTGTGGTAGTTGCTAGGCTGTTGCTAAGTGGTTGCTTAGAGGTTCTGCATGGTTGCTATGGTATTGATAGGATAATAGGATGTTGTGGTAGTTGCTAGGCTGTTGCTAAGTGGTTGCTTAGAGGTTCTGCATGGTTGCTATGGTATTGATAGGATAATAGGATGTTGTGGTAGTTGCTAGGCTGTTGCTAAGTGGTGTTCTGAATGGTTGCTAGATTACTAGGATGTTGTGGGTAGTCTGCTGCTAAGTGGTTGCTTAGTTCTTCTGAATGGTTGCTAGGGTGTTGCTATGTGGTTGCTGGAGTGTTGTGGGGGGTTGCTAAATGGAATTTTAAACCCTAAAATTCATAGCAATCAATTCATAATATTTGTAAATGAAATGATGAAATGGGTAAAATAAATCTGGAGTGTCTGTGTGTCAAAAATAGAATTAAGGCGTTCGCATTGACATTGGACGCTTGTTGTGTACAGAAGCTGATCTAGTTCAGCTGGATTGTAGCACTTGCACTTTTGATAACCAGAAGTTTGAATTTCCTAACTCTTGATATTGAGATTTTCGACAATGTAAAATGGCTTGTTAAATCTGTCATTGGCGTGTTTGAGCTGCTGTCATTGCTCAAGCAGAACGCTCTTATTGCATTCTGAAGCAAGGCGGCAAACTGCTCGGATCTTTCCAGAAGCTTTTTTGGCAGTTCATTAAAGGTGCCAGTGGTGTTGTCAAAGTCGTGTCGGTGGTACATGTGAATGATGCCTTCTGATTGGTCTTTCTGAGTGTCGATGAAAGTATGTGTTCTTCTACCACAGCCCCTAAAGAAAGACGTAAAACATAGATATTCATTCATTTAATTTCATGTCCATTCCTATAGTTGACCCCAATGTCTTCAGATTGTAGCTGAACACGAAGCAGTTTATAATATCTTAGCTCTGTTGAACTAATAAAACGTAATCTATTGAATTTCTTTGAATTGCAATTCAGTAAATTCCTCTTCCTGTTCTGAATTTTACACACACACACACACACACACACACACACACACAGAGAGAGAGAGAGAGAGAGAGTGAGAGTTGTGCAGTAATTAGATCTATATGGCAGGAGTGTGATGAACGTCCTGCAGGATCAGCAACAATGTCTCTCTCTCGTATGATGAGCTCAGAGTCCCGTGGCGTAGCGGTGAAGCGTCTGTTTGATGGCGATTTTGTCATGAAGACGCACAGTGTAGATTTACTCTGCACACTTTGTCATAGAGAAAGCCAGCCTCATCCGTCACTTCCGCAGCTTTCAATCAATCTCCTGCCGCAGTCTTCGCTCTTTAGCTGACAGTTTGCTCACTGATGGAGAGCAGAGCACTTCAGTGCGCGACCGTCATGCTCTATGAAACCATGCCAGAGAGTCTCTAATCGCAGCAGAAGATGGCAGCCGATGCGTCTGTATCAGTGAGTTAGAGACTTATAGTCAACAAATCAAAAGTTTAGAGTTCGAGCGATATATCAGCCGGGCCAATCACTCGATGAGCACTGGGCCGTAACCATTACCATTTGACCAACTGAACAGGTGCTAGCGCCTCCTAGTGTCAGTTCACAGTTTAATGAGACACGCCTAGATGATAAACTAGTTCTGCTTTCAGGTTTTTTTAGTGAATTCTGACAGAATATTGTGCACATTTATTAATTAGATTTTTTTTTGTTCATTTATCTATCTTTACAGAGGAAAATATTTGAATTAATTACTTATGATTTTATTCAAATATTATTTAATGTGTTTGGTAAATGTTGACAATACTGTGCTTATTTATTTATTTATTTATTTGTCTATCTATGGACAAAAAATGTAACGAGTCTAAATATGATCCAGTTATTATTTATTCTGTTTGTGTGAGTATTGTCTGAATTTATTTATTTGTTTGTTTATTTGTTCATTCATTTATTTATTATAGAGGAAAATATTTGAACTAATTACTTACGATTTTATTCAAATATTATTTAGTGTGTTTGGTAAATTTTGACAATATTGTGTGAATTTATTTATTTGTCTATCTATCTTTATAGAGAAAAAGATTAAACTAATTACTTCAAATGTGATTCAGATATGATTTAGTATGTTGAGTGAATTTTAACAGAATATTGCGTGAATTTATTTATTTGTTAGTTTGATTATGAATTTATTAATTACAGAGGAAACTGTTTTAACAAATTACTTAAGATATTATTCAAATATTATTTAATAATATTTAGTATATACAGTATGTTTAGTGTTTAGTACCTAAAAAGTTAAACTAATTACTTCAGATATTATATAAATATACAAATAATATTTTCAAAATATTGTATTATTAATTCAGCTATTATTTTGTTTATTCATATATCTGAGCAGAGAATATTTCTCATGTACATTTCAAGTATATGTAGTGAATTTAGACATAATATAGTGTAAATTAATGAATTGCTCGTTTGTTCATCGTAGTGCAGAAAATGTTCAACCTTTCCAAACATTGTCTGAAACGCAATTTACAGACTTCTTATTTGTTGAACTGATGTTAATGATGTTGAAAAATGCTAAAAACTTCGTTTTGAAAAGAGTGAAATTTGTTTTCGTACTTCACCTTTCACTCAGGCAGGAGAATCCCAGAATCACGAGAAAGCAGAAATCCACACCTCAGCACTTCTTCTGTTTCTTCATTCACTCCTCCGCCGATACCAATCAGACTCTTAAGTGGCTCGTTACATTTCTTCTGCTTCCCTGAGATGTTTGTATCTCATAAATATGTATGTGTGTGTGTGGAACTCTGCGTCTGCAGTCTAAGCGTATAGTCAGATGCCTGAAGGATCTGTGCGACAGGAATATCAGACGTTGGGAGGCGAACGCGAGCGAGATTGAGGGCTGCGATCGGGTCAGACGAGAGGAAGAACGAATGACTTTCCAGATCCAGCCAGTCAAATGTGATGCAGCCCGGATCTTGTAGAACGACGGTGAGATTTGTCTTCCAAATAGCCGGTGTCCGTGAGCAGAATGACTCCACGTATTTCACACCGTCGTGGGCTGGAATGAGCAATTGCGGGTTAATCCTAGCTTTAGCGTGAGGCCGAGCGGGCAGGACGCTGTCGAGAGCGTTTTTCTTGAGGTTGGAGAAGGAATTTATTCAGGGGAATGACTCTTGGTTTTTTTGGGGTTTCGAGCCGAACGCAAACAGAGCAGAATCCTAATGTTCGTGTTGATACTGCGGGATGGTAATCTGATTAGTTCTATTCTGTGCTGCTGATGTGATTCACCGCCGCTCGCCTCAAATCAGCCAATCACAATCTCAACATAAAGGGTAATTGGAGGGAATTTCTGCTCTTCAAGAAGCATTTTCTTACTACCGTCTCTGATTTGATTGCTCTATTCAGTCTTTCAGATTCTCAGGCGCGCAGAAACGCGCTGGCTTGTTGGCGACTCTGATGGAGGCCGATGACAGAGTTGATTAAAGTTTGGAGCATCTTCAGCTCATTATTATGACTGGCACTTTTTTCAAAGTGACTCAACACTTCGTTTCACATCTGAGAGTGTTACGATGTTCAGGTGCGCTTAGCAGGCTGAGAAAAAAATGTGCTAATGTTTTGCTTATGTTCCCATTAAATTAAGATGTACTGATGTCCTTCTGATGTCCTCTAAACATTCAAAATGACCAGGATTCTTTTTTTTTTTTTATGTATTAAAAAAAAATTCTTGGTTATACAAACATTAAGGGAACATTCCATTTTAGAATTTTGCAAAAATGATGGGAATGTTACTTTTGAATGTTCTCTGAACAATCTGGAACAAGTAGTAACATTTGTAAAAAAAAAAAATGTTAGATGAACATCAAAGTAAAATGTTT